GGCTTTATTATTAGGACCTTTCAGATTCACTATTTTTAAATCTTCTGCTAACTTGTTCTTTTATTCTATTGTGATGACTCTGTGCCAAGTATCTCCATTATAAACTTATTAGCCCTATTTGCTACAACAGCTTTCTTTCCATCAGAATTTCATTCTTTCTTGGTTCTTATCACTCCTGATCATTTCTTCTGCACCTTCATGGTTTACCAATATTTTGTGTAAGTCACACACAGACCACTATCTTTACGAAGCATTATTAATCCATCATGAAAATCTTTACTTAAGTCGCAATTTAAATTTTTGATTTTTCATTTTATTATGAAGAGAATTTGAAGCCAAGATAGTTGCTACTCACCACACATTTTGTGTGCCTTCTGTTTTTCCAACTTCACTTATAATTACATTAGACACATGACTAATTTTGATCAAATAAAATCAGACCAGACATGGCTCAGGTCACACAAGTCAACAGGTAAGAGCTGGAAAGGTTCTTTTTACTTTGTTTTATCTTTATTAGGACAATCAGGGCAGCTATATGATATGGTATAACTATAACACAGAAAAGGCTTGTATGTTGTACATTGAATTGTGATGTGAGACATACAATAAAATTATGCTTAGCTCTGAAATTTCAGGAGACATTTCCTGGGGTAACTAGTAAATGTTATCTTGACTTCTGTATGTAGATTTAATTATATCATATTTAAAGCTTTATATCTACTGTGTTACTGTTTGTTTCTTTCTAAGTTTTGCCTTTTATAGAATTAATTGAAAATTCCCCACTTTATACATTTTTACTCTCTCTATATGAAATATATAGCTATTTGTGATAGTTAATATTAAGTAACAAAATTATAGGACTATGGTACACAGGTTTAGTCAAGCCCTAGTCCAGGCATTGAAGTGAAGATATTTTTTTAGATGCAATTGATAATTAAAACAGTGGTCTTTGAATAAAGCAAATTACAGTCCATAATATGGGTGGGTCCCATTCAACAAGTGAAGGAAGTCTTAAGAATCTGAGAGTCTTTGAAGAAGTTCTGCCACCAGCTTGCCTTTGGACTCCAGACTGTAACATTAATTTGTCGCTAACTCTTTAGCTGGCTAGCGTGCCCTGAGAAGTTTAGACTCACCAGACTCCACAATTGCATGAGCCAGTTCTTTATAATTTATGCCTCTCTGAATACATATCCAGTCAGATGCCACATAAGGATGTTCTGGGCACAGATGAATCACATATGTGCTGGTGGTCCCATAAGGTTATATTGGCCAGATAAATGTATGTTGTTTATAGGATCCAAAAGCATGTGGAATCTATTTGCTCATCAACTTGTAAAATATGATACACTGTGGTCATGCAAACTTCAAGTTTGCTTATGATCTGGACGTTTAAAAAAGGTTTTTCTGCTGTCTCAATGTTTTTTCATAGTCTTTTTAAAGAATCAAAGCAATTACTGTTGAGAAGTTAATTAAAAGTTAGTGCTTCTCTGAACTCTGCTATCTAAAGAGTGACATGTTTCCTTTCTTCATTTCCTCATACTTACCAAAGAGAGGCTATCATATAATTTATACTTATGGGAACAAATGTTTATAATGCTTTCCTCATCCAACACTAATGGAAAGTAGCATCAGCTTTTCTTTTCATAATGCCTCATTTCTTAAAATAATACTTCTTATGTAAAATAAGCAGTAGGAATACTTTTACAAATTTAAATTGTATTCCAAAAATGGGCATTGGAGATGAACACACAGTTCTCAGATGAAGATATACAAATGGCAAGTAAATACACGAAGAAATGTTCACCATCACTGTCATTTGAGAAATGCAAATTAAAACAGCACTGAGATTTCATCTCACACCGGAAAGAAAACAATTGATAATAAATGTTGGTGAGGATGTGGGGAAAAAGGAATACTTCTCCACTGTTGGTGGGGGTGCAGACTGGTGCAACCACTGTGGAAATCAGTATGGAGATTCCTCAAAAAGCTAGAATTGGGAGTTCCATTCAATCCAGCTATTCCTCTCCTGGGTATTTTCCCAGAAAAATTGAAAGGTTATGTCACAGAGATATATGTAAACCCACGTTCATAGCAGTACAATCTGTGATAGATAAATTTTGGAAACAACCAAAATGCCCTTCAACTGCAGAATGGATGAAAAAAATGTGGTATTTTATACAATGGAATACTACTCAGCTATCAAAAAGGATGGTCTTGAGGCCTTTATATGTAAAAATTAATAAAAACTGACAGAATAATAGGATCCAAAAAGTATAATAGATATTGTGAAAGTGAAAGGGAAGGAAAGTGCTCTAAAGGACATAACGGTATGTACAGTGTGCAAGACAGATGCCATATTACTGAATTTTTGTTGGAATATTGAACAGAAGGATTTGCATTGTCAATATTTGAGTGTCTAGCCACTATTTATCCTTTGGTTTTTGAGACTTTGGCAACTATTTTTTAAGACGACAACTAGTGATTCTATGATGATAATTTTTTTGAATTCAGTATTGATCTACCCTTCTTTTCTGTTTTTCTATTTTTAAAATTTTCTTTTCTGTCTTTGAAAAAAAAGAACATTATGCAATATAACAACCATTGTTAAATGTCTTTCATTCTGATCTGAAAACCTATATTGTCATTATTTTGAGTTTGCTGTCGTTGTTTATGTCTTGCTTTTTGTTTTTCTTTTCTGATTTTTGTATTTTAAAATAAAAAATTAAATTGTATATAGCCTTCTCCTGCTTATAAAAGTTCAACTTCTCATATTTTCCTTTCAATTCCATTCTTAATTATCTGTGTGTTAATACCTAGGCCAGTAAATCTTAAAACTTGAAGCTATTTTTAAAATGAAGCCTTAATTATGTTTACAGGTTGTATCTGACATTTCTTTCTTTTCCTATAGTATTTTAAATACTTCATATTATGTCTTCTCAAATTACCTTATCTCTGTTTTCTTCACATTGGCGTGTTACGTTATTGATTTTCCAACAGGTCTTTTTACTCTGTATTTATTTATTTTTTTGTTTCCTTCCGATTCATTGTAAACATTATTTTTCTTTGTAAGAGCAGACTCAAATGAGTAGAGGAATCATTTGTATTAATATCCTTTGACTTCTTTCATAAATAATAATTCTGATTGTATCCTTGTGTGTTTGTCTATCATGCTACTAACAATACCAAATCTCATTCTCAGCCTCATGTTTGACTATTATTTCTTTCCAGAAAAATCTAGCTCCATGATAATGGTATGTACAGAATAACCTCTTAAGATTAAAGTGTAGTTCATTCTGCTCATGAAATATAGTCTGAGAAGCTTTCTTGAACAGATGAGTCTTTTTAAATTTGCTGATAGCCATTTAATACATCAGGAATTCTCCTTAGCAACTATCTTGTACTTTTTCAGACATTTAATTAATTTTACATGGCTTGTGGAAAAAGAAAGGGAATAATGAAACATGGGGACATGTGAGAACACATGACACCTCATCACAGATTGGTTAGCTTATCGGGCATGAGCAGCAGTGGTAAGGAGAAGTAAATATTCAGTTCATTTCAGTAGAAACTGAGGGTTTGCTCTATATGAAGTGATAATACTAGTGTAGGTGAAATTAAATAGATTTTTAACACTAAATGTTAGAAGACATTTATAAGCACAAAGCAATGACAAGAGCAAAATTTTCATTTACACAAAATATTGCAAGTGAGCATAAAATGTGTTAAATGTAATGAAATTCATTCATTCATGAATGCTTACTGGTTGCCAGGCCTTAGCCTACATGCTGGCAATGGTCATCCCATAAAATAGATTGGATGAAAATGGTGAAGTTGAAAAATAGAATGCTATCAATAAAAATGAATACAATTCAGGCTACATTTAAAAACCAATTCCATTTGAAAAATTAACTGAGCTTAGGAAACTTTGTGCAATGATAATCACAATTTTGAACAAGAAATAAATAGAACATATGGCGTTGCCTGAGCTCATTAGAGAGAAAACACAGAGTGGTTCTTGTTGGAAGACTATGCTATCTTCATTAAGATCACAGAATAACCCTCCTAGGACTGTGGTAATTATCTCTAATGTTCCTGAGATCCAAGATAATATTTTTGTTCAATTTCCAAACAAAGAAAATATTGTTTTTTTCCACAGCAGCATTATTTATGTATATTTCTTTGACAGTCAAATATTTAGTCAGGGTTTCTTTTCCCTTCAAATTTCTGATGTATTTGGAAATTGTGTGTGATGCAAAGGGGTAAATAAATGATCATTATGATCTTTTTAATTAAAATTATGATTCCTGCAAAGTGTTTGTTCATCTACAATAGTATTACCAAGATTTATCTGACAAATTATTTACAAATTTTTTTTTGCATATGAAAGATAAAAGTTTGTCATTGATGATACTCAAGTAGGGTAAGATAAATTGAAATCTCCAAACTCTAAAATGTTAGTTCCAAATATATTTGGAACACTGACAGCATCCATTGGTTAAGAGTTTTTCAATTTAAAAACATAGTGAAAAGAGTTTTGAAGTATGTGATTTGATGTATTTGGTAAAAAGTGTACTTGTGGCCAAACTTCATATTCAGTGGTGTGTGATGCTAAGCAACGGTATTCATTTTCAAGGTGTTTTTTTTTTTAACTGATGACATGTAGAATAATAGTGATGAATTTCTCTGTCTGGAGGGTTCTGTCTGCCTGTTTTTGTTTTGTGAGTTGGTGGCAGAAATGCACTTGGCATTTGCGATAATTTCAAAATGCTGACAACTCTAAGAAGTGGGTGACTGAGAAGACAGTGCTGTTGTGTTGGGAGCACACTGAGAATTTATTTTGTACAAAATTTAAAAGTAGCCTTCAAAAATATTTCACGAGAAGGATCCTAATGTACTAGGCTTTTTAAAAAAGAGTTTACTTAAGGTTGCAAAACTTACTTTCATAATATAGTGGAAAATGTGGACTTCCATTGTAGTCCACAAGGTTATTTGTTTCTTACCAGTTTCGTAGCTTCATGTGCAAGACCTCTGGCTTCTGTGGCAACTTTCTCAGCTTCATCAATGTAGTCCTTAATATTGCTGTAAGCATTGAAGGCTGCAGTGGCATTGAAGGAAATGTTCTTAGCCTCCTCCAGAATTCTGTTGGAATGAGCCCCCAAAAAGGAAAAGCAGAGAAGTTATCACTCCAAGGAGGGCCAACCTAGTGACAATCAACGTGGCTTCCAAATGACCATGGCCAGTGTGAGAATTCCACATCATAGTGAGTGCCTACTCGATGGTACTGTGTTATAGGTTTGCATTTAAATGTATTTCCAAACAATTCAACTATGAAATTCTACTAACACATCCTAAACATTCATCGTCCTCCAGGGGATTACAGCACCCAAGCATGAAGACCTTTCACCTGTGTTTTGAACGATGCAGTAAGTTTTAGAGCTCTGGCACCACAATGAATAAATTTTGCAAAATCTCTGTGGGGTAAGCGAACCTCCCCCCGAGGAAGATAACAAAATCTCCGTATGTTGACTGACTTGCTTCAGGTTGCAGGACTAACACGTCCCTAACTGACTAATGGAGGATTTAGGTCCCTGCTCTGTTGATTCCTGGCTTACTGTTCCACCTACCATTCCTTCGCTTTTGACTGGCAAAATCAGTTGTATGTATATTATCTAGGGATTTTAAACAATAACATTTTGCTTTGTATTGTTGAGTATCAAGTGTGGAAACAAAGCTCTGTATATGATGTATCTTAAATGTAGAATCACTTGAGAAAATTTTTCTTAGGGCCAAGACCTACTGTATTGATTATGTCAATCACAAAACTGCAGGGCAACATATCAGTTATAGCTGGAGGGCTCTTTATAAGTCACATGGCTCTCCCTCCTGCCTTCTTCTCTTGCGACCCACATCCTATACTGAGCAGCTGTAGTTAGCAGTTAGTTCACAGGAGAATATACAGTACTCTCCCGGAGTTATAAAGAGAAAGAAAAAAAAAAAAAAACAGATTGAAAGGCTATGTAGAGGGGCACATTTTCAAAAGGCACCTTTTAACAATGAGCTGCTTTGATTCCACTGGAAATATAAAACAAATTTGAAGCAAAACGTGCGCTTATATATTATTATTTAAAATGCTAATAAGGCAACTGGGGTGCTTTCTAATAAAGAACAAAAACATCATTTTCTAAGTGTAGCCTAAGGCTGTGTTCACTTCCTAACAAGCCATATTTGAGTCCACTTTTAACTCAGACTTTTGATACTTCTCCAGCAGAACTTTGCCAACACCCTCTTAATTAGGATCCTTCACAGAAAGGCTGTGTCATTCTTTTGTTCGTAATTATAGAAATCAAGACTTGAAAGTGATTCTCTACCCTTTATGGCTGTCACAACTTTCAGATAAGTGTCAAGATACACAGACATCTCCAACAACAAATGACATACCCGTCAAGGACAGCAGATGACTCATTCAGCTGAGCTGCGTGGCTCTCAGCTTGGGACACGTTCTCAGCAAGCTTCCGGTCTTTGATTTCTTGGGAGAGTTCAGCTATTTTATCTGTAAGCTCCTTTGACATTGGTGGCAGTTTACTCCGAAGGTCTTCAACATACTGATGTGTATACAGAAGAGATCACATGTTTAGCAAGTCTCTTTGAATTTACCAATTTCACTGAGACATAACCACATATACTTAGTATTTTCATGCAACTTAAACTTTAGTAGCATTGCAAGAAAAGAGTACAGAGAATAAAAGTTGTTATTTAATAAAAATTTAATAAAATTAGGAAGCCACTGTATACCAAGGAGAATCTTTTTTAAAAAGTGTCACTTTATAGCTATAAATGTATAAATGACAGTCATTAGGATCTTTTAGATCATTTGCACTTCTGTTATTATCTACCGCAGTTTAATGCATTAGACCATATATTAAAAGGCGGCTTGATGGTTTACATTTCGGTTTTAACTAATGTTATATAATGTTTCAACAGATTGCAAGTATTGCTCTGAGAACAAGGAAGGCTCCTCATCACTGTGAAAAAGTAAAGCCCAGGTTTGTGAGTGTGTGAGGAGCCTTACACAAACACACAAGTCTATTGGAAAAAACGTGACATTCTAACTGCTATCAATAGGTGGATACAGTCATAATAGAATAGCCCCCAAAATTTTACCACCAGTCCTGGGAGCCAGCACCATGCATGTGCTACCAGCGGACTGTAACAGACAGACCTCAGCCTCTCCCTGTGAGTCAGTGCCATTGTCAGACTGGGGGTAGAGAGAACAAGGCAACACCAGCAAGCAAGCCCAGTCTGGGAGCCAGCACCACGCACAGGCCACTGGTGGACTGGAATAGACAGTCCCCAGCCCCTTCCAGAGCACGGGCTGGCAAACAAGAAGTAGCAACTCCCCAACCCCACTGTAAATGATCTGCTTATCTGGAGAAACACAGGCTGTGATGGTGAATATGGAGGTGAAATGCAATTGGAGGTCTGTGGTGCTTTGGTGTTTCACTAACACTGCAGGTCTAGGGTCAGTGGTCTGATCACAAGTTCAGAAGATAGCGGTATGCAGTGTGGCATTTAGAGGGGGAATCTCCTTCTGAGGGCTGCAGCCATGGTTAAATCCCTATGGTCTTGTTTTGAGGTCTTATATCATTTCCATTGTTTTGCTGGGTTTTATTCTGTTTTGTTTGATTGTCAAATCCGATGGCAGGAAAAGCTACTTCAAAGATAGCAAGACATATTATGGTAGCAATTTTGGATTTACTATTGTCTTGTTCTGAAATTCTTTATTGCATTCATTGTTTTGTTTTTATTGTTTCTGTTCTGTTCTGTTTCATTTTTACTATGTCTGAAGTTATCTGCAGTTATCTGCAGTTATTTTGAAGACATCAAGAGGCATTATGGTAACTATTGTTGATTTTGTAATATTTTGAAGTCCTGTATCTCTTACACTGGTTTGTTTTGATTGTTTTTATTCTCTTTCAAAGAAAAAAAAATTAAATAACTTCTGCTACCAGAGAGAACACATATTAGTATTCACATGTATTACGGAGATTTCTCCTTCTTTCCAATTTATGAGAGCCTATGGCATCGTCATCTCTCTCTTGCCTTAGATTTGTCAAATACTCACTTCTATGATGGAGCTGATTTCATATGCAAGTCGGTTGGCTTCACCAAGTATGTCATTACCCTCTTTCAAAGTATTCTCAATTTGTCGTCTTCCACTTTCAACAGCCTCCTTCTTTTTCTACAGAACAGGAAGAACAAGACATCAGAATGCCACGTGGGTAAAACTCTGTACAGCTTTGTTTCACTGGCCCTACTGACCTGTCTGAACGCTCCACACACAAGACACTTAGTGCTGGCACCGTCACTAGATAAGAATGTTATAAACTATGCAGCTAGTCCCCCAAGAGTTCTATTCTGAGCCCACACACAGGTAATTTCTCCTTCCCATTTAAGCAAATCATCCAAGTGAAAAAAAGTCATGTGAGAGTAGTTACGGGATTAAAATTATTTTTAAAGCAAGCTAGAACATCCATTTTTAACTACAACGTAAGTGTGGAATATGTTCCTGAACACTTGATGGTGACCAGATTAGATTGGAACTACATAGGAGTTCCAGCAGCTGTATACCGACTACCTCAAAAGCCTAAACATAAGCAGATTTATTCTACAGAGATTCTGTAAAATTCAAAGAAGTAGGATTTTTAAAAAAGAAAACTCAGGGGAAATACTTTTCAAAGGAAAGAGAAACCATCACCTCGAAGGACAAACCTAATGGACTGTTTTGTAAGAGCAGCCTCTAACTTTTCTTTGGAACTTATAGGTTGTCTCAAAACTACATGAAACTCATTCCTGGCTTAGAAGAAGGAAATCGATGAGGGAGAAATTCTGCCGTTTCTCTATCTGGAGAATTCTTTGTGTGTTATTTTCTTTGAGCTTTCAACACCTTCATATTCTTTCAGGCTTTGTTTTACCTATAGATTTAAGTGCAGCAATTAAAATTTAAGCTTGGCCATTTATGGCTTTTTTTGCCCAAGTACTCATAGTAATTTATATTTACTTAGATCTCAGTTTATTTGCAGACAGTTTACAAGCTTGTTTCATTTAATTCTAATACTCGCTGTCCTATCTTTGTCCTTTAAGTAAACAGAACACTGAACAAATGATACACAGTGTGAAATCTTGGGTCCCCAGAATTTGTACATAGAGATTCTGGCTCTAATGTGTTAGTACTCAAAAATGGGGCCTTTGATGAGATCATGGGACAGAAAACTTATAGATGGAATCAGTGCTATTGGAAGGGACACGTGAGTGTGCTTGTTCACCCTTTTTCCATCTCAGGGGACAGCAAAATGCTGGCGATTGTGAGCCAGGAGGCAGTCCCTCACCGGACAGCAACTTTCCACTTCCCCTGTGTTGGATTTCTGAACTTCCAGAACTGTTAGAAGTAAACTGGCTTTGTTTATAAACCATCAGATTTTTGGTGTTTTGTTATAGCAGCCCTAAGGAACCATTGATACACCTGATGTCACATTTCATACAGTGTAGGTTAAGAAGTGAGCCCAGTCTATTTAAAGATAGATCTTGACTCTTAGACTGCAAAAGGAAAGTCTTTCCTGTCATGGAAGTCACACTTTTTATTAGCACTGGGACAGTGCTAATTGTCTAACTTCCTTTCCTAATCTCTGCATCAAGCACTTTGAGAAGCTACCAAGTATGTCTCCCTCATGGCCTCTGAGCTTCATCTGCAGTCTTCTCTTCCCTGTGCTCTTCTGCTGTTCTCAGCAGGCTTCCTCCCTCCCTTTCCTGTTTTATGATCCCTTCCTTGACAACCTATCTGTAGGACCCATCAGCATCCCAATCATTCTGTGAGGTGGAATCCTGGCTCTGAAATCTGGGACGTCTTGAGCGAGCAACTCAGCATCATGGATATTGCTTCGTTTTTCCCTGCACAAGTCGTGGCCCATTCCTCACAGCACAGGCATCAACCTGGAGCTTGTTAGAAATCCACAGTCTTGGTCCTTTCAGGGGGAACTACTGACTCCGAAGCAGCATTTCAGTAAGAATCTCTGGTGATGATATGCCCGGTGAACGCAGAGAGAATGTGGCTTAGAGCCCTGCCTGTCACACACTGACACTACATAATTGTTAACTATTGTGCTAATTACCTTGTTATTTCTTCTAATACTGACTTATCTGAATTATATCCTACAGGGCAGTGGTGGCTAACCTGTGGCATGTGTACCACAGTGAGCTGTTTGTATCACTGAAAGCTTTAAAATGTTCGCCATCACTGCTGTAGGGTGTCCATAAATTATAGAAATGTACAAAACTGAGTTTAAACAATATAGTATCTTGCTTATCAATACATACTATCTTGATTATGTCTTCTAGGGTTTCTAAAAGTACAGATGATTTAGTGAACATAAAGATAATTAGTATCACAGACATTGCCCTACAGGGACTGGTGGAAACCTGCGGCCACCTGAAATCTGCTCCACTGAATGTAACATGTAGTGTCACAGATGGATCATATATGATCACATCTTACAGAAGTCAGCACACTTATCCAGACCTTCTAGCCATATCACACGCCTGTTTCTTGTTTTAGTGAATATTCCACAAAGCAGCCTTATATGTCTCTGTAACTCTATTAGCTAGAACAGTTTCCTCAATAAATAGTTTTGAGTCAATAAATGAAAATGATGTCCATGCCTCAGATTTGGACTCATGACCCTTGGTTCCTTGACCCACCCTATCTGGCTAATTCAGGGGAAGTTTTGATTGGCTAAGTCCTCTTCCTAGCAAAGGTAGTGGGAGGTCTCATTATTCCCAATTTCAAGTCATAAACTTCTCTTCTAAGGGTCTGATATTCTTTTATATAACTGTTGATTATAGTCTTTGACTTTTGTGTGAATTGATTTCAAGTTACACTATGTGCAGAAATTGTAGAGTCTTTTTTTGTTGTTTTCTGCAACATGGCTTGTTTGTAAAAGGTACAAGAATGTATCAAGGTAATTGACACGATGCATCAAAGTAATTTAAAATATTCTACCAGAGCTGAGGATGTAGTTCAGTGGTACAGCACTTGCCTAGCATGTTCAAGGCCCTCGGTTGGATCCCTAGCATTGCATAAAGTAAAATAAAGTAAAATAAAATAAAATAAAATAAAATAAAATAAAATATTCAACAATTGGAAGGAGGAGAATATTTTCACATGTGTGTTAAGTGAAGAGCTAAATTTACATCGGTTTCCATAGCTAGTCAGTTATCTCTTAGACAGCTCTAATTGAGTCACTTTAGGGAGTTGATTTTCATGCAAAGATCAAAATGTGTTCTTTATCATATTAAAGCAGAGATGATGATCTAAGATTAAAGAGATTTTAGAGGTGTCTAATTTCAGATTAGATGTTAATAGACTCTAGCTTTGAAATGAAGGAAGATGCAGATTTGCAATTTCCAAATATTGATGAAAGTGTAGAGATAATATTTATTTGCATTTGTTTTATGGTTTTTTACTTTTGCATCAAAAGCATCTGTTTTGCTTTTTTGCCAAACACTATTTTAGGCTTTGGGGATACTTGAAAAGAAGGCATGTTCTCTGTGATGTCTCTAGAGGAAGAGGAAGAGAAGTAAGGAGAAAATGAATAAGTGAACTAATGCGTATTTGAGAAAATGTTAGAACAAGTGTTATAAAAATGATTAAAAATATGGAATGATGGAGAATGATGTAGGATTTAAAATACTTAAGATAGAAAGCTTAGACCATTTGAAGAACAAATGAGAAAGTTTCTAGCGAGAAAATTATTCTTCAAAATATATCACAAGCCTAAATTGCTAGACCATTTTCTTTGGATAACAAGGTTGATTATATTTCTATATTTAACTTAATTAATTAGATCTTAACTCATTCCAGAGTGCTATACTTTGAACTCCTTTCTTTTGCTGTAGTTGGGGGACAGTGACTTCTTCAAGAACCTCCGAAAAGGTTCTTCTTATCTATCCTTTAGCAATTTACCCTTCTCTTTCTTTGCAAACTCTTTTGTAGCAAGGTTATAAAGGGAGACTTTGCAACAGATGGTTCAAAGCACATGCTTTGCTGGGGCCTTATTCCGTCTCTTTCTGCCTGGCAGGACCCTTGTTTTCTCTTCATCACTGGGGATACCCTTGTAAGGACATCTGCAGAGGGCTGTGCTGTCTTTCATACCCTGTCTGCAGACACCACTCGCAGAGCCATCTCCTACAGCAGACATTTACACAGCTTGTGAATCAACTGGCTGGCTCTATTTAACGTGCCTTGAGGTTATCTTACATGTTAAGAGGTTTATGCTCATCCTCACTCTATTCTCTCTTTCTTTCAACTTCCCTCAATTCTGGTATGATGCCACAGTTTTTATAAATATTGTGTTGGTTTTTTCAGTCAATGCTAATCAAACTATTGCGTTCAATGAGAGGATGAAATGTTTGAAGTTTTCAGGAGGCTACAAGTTCTACGAGGCCAGGGATCACTCCTATTCAGCTTCCTACTCTGATTATTAATAGCACCTTGATATGATGGTTTCCTGGAATACACTTGAATATTACCCCAGCCCACTTTCCTAGCCTAATGTCATACCTTTTTCCAATATAGCATCAATTTCCTACTTTACATAAACCACAGGCAAATTCCTCCAAATGTAATTTTAATCTCTGATTCTTTATGTTACTTATTATAATTTTCAAGATGAAAGTCAAATTCCCTAGTTTAGCCTCAGTGTCATTCTCTTCTCCCTCAAGGTCTGGACCCTACCTATATCTGCCACTGTCTCATCTACTCATTCATTTGTAATCTGTATGCCAGTTCAGACAACCACAGAATTTTCTCTCAAATGTATTTGTTTTCTTCCTGTCTCACTTATGCTCCTCCTTTTTCCTGGAATGTTCTTTTATATTCTTACTAACTTGTGCTTACTCTTTAGGGCCTAGTACAAGTGTCAGGGCCTCTGTGAAGCCCTTCTGGGACCAGAGGTGACTAGCTTTGCTTAAGGGCTTTTCTACCTCCATGATCATCTCAGTGGTTTGCTGGTGTGTACCGAATCCTAGACACAAATTACTCAGAATCACCAGAGATGGTGTTTGATTCATAAAGAATGAATCATTCTCTAAAGTAAGGCTTCTGGTAATCATAGGAGGGCATGTAAAACTCAGATGGTCCAACCTTTCAGGGTTTCTGAGTCAAGAGCTTTGGAGTGGGGCTTGGGGAACTGCATTTTAAGTAGGTTTCTAGGTGATGCTGACACTGCTATTGTAGGGACAACATACGACAATCAGTGTCTGAAATAATCAAGTTTGTTTTCAGCACACTTTGGGAATGCAACAGGGACTTCACACAAGTGTTTAGTCACACAAGGTACTTGCTTAGTGGCTTAAATAAACAGAAAAGAATGAGTTCAGTCATGGTTATTAGCAGCACGGGGACAACAATGAAGGTGTATTTTAAAAAGTTTATTAGGGATCCCAGTGGGCCAAAAAGCTCTTCTCCTTAAAGCAGTAAGGTCATCAAATGAATGAGGGAGTCTGAAGATGTGGACACTGGGCCACACCCAGACCAGCTCGCAGTCTGTGTGGAAATCAAGGTTTAAAAAAATCCAAGCAATATTTTTATTAAAGTTGTTCTTATACCGACCTTAGTGGACCAAGGGAAACTTAAATAACCCGTGCTTTCCTCACATTGATGGAGTTAGTTACCTATTCCATCCAGTAAGTTTCAATCAATCTTTGAGTTAAGCAAGGCGTATAAAATGAAAAGACAAAAAAAGAACTTCAGTGTCAACTACAAAAGTGCCAGGCATCTCTAGGGGGCCCAGGAATGATGGTTCTTGGTTTTAAACATCACTGGAAGGAAGGAATGGCTGAAAGCACCATTTACTGTGTCACTATAATTCTTCTTGAAATACTTTGCAAATGCTCATTATGTTTCCCACACAGGTAATTTTAATTTCCTAAACTGTTGCAATAAAATAGAGAGGTACCCCTGAGGGGAAGGTACACCACCAGGGTGTCTCCTGGAGGATGAATCATGCTGGCGTCTGTGACAGGGCAGGCGCCTGTCTCCCAACTCTCCAGATGGCTCTTTGTCGAACCTACTGCTAGTGTGTCCATGGACTTCAAATTGGCTAAGACTAGATTTATCAGTTACAGGAAAACTGAGCCATTTCCAGCTTCAACCAAAATGGTAAGGCTAAAATCCCAGTGGAAAGACTCAGGGGGACCAAAACAATTTTTTTGAAAAACTTAATTCATTCTCTTACCTAATCCCAAGGAAAACAGATTTTAAAAATCCAGTGTCATTTTACTCAACCATCATGATCACTCAACACTTTTGAGATCGTACACCAGACTGGAGTGTTGAGTTGTGGTTGAGGGTAAAATTATATTCCAGAAGGAAGAAAGACCTGCTGCCACTTTCAGATCTGATGGAAAAGTTGTTGTTTCTGGAGAGAAAGCGCCTTGGTCTGAATATGAGATAAGGCTTTGGCTATTAACTGTGTTGAAAGTGATTATTTACCATGTTAACAATAAGGAAGTATCTGAAAATAAAAAAAACTGAAAGAAGAGAATGATGGAAGCATCTGTTTTAGATCTAGTAGCACCTAAGAACCTCTGTAACAAGGGTGCCCCTCATCACTTGACTTATTCAAGAAAAGAGGCAGAAATAACCCAGACTTGGATGTGTTTTTGTGAGCTCCTTTCAAGACGCCATTTGCATGAAGCACATTGTGAAAACAAAGAGACCCATCATGTTCCCAAGCTCTGCTCTCTGAGTGAACTGTTTCACTCTTGGGCAGAGTCACTGAGATGAAGGGAACATTTATGATTTTTCACAACCAGATCTGTGAACCAGGTTTGTAGATTCGGTTGGGTGAATTACAAAGCCATGTGATTTAAGCACTGAAAATACTCTACATACACCGTAGTCTAATGCATTCATTTCAGGGTTAAGGGAAGGATGCTTAGAAAGGGTCATTGGCTGGTCCTACCAGACATGAAGTTAATGGCACAGCTGTCACTGTGACTAAAGTTCCTTGACTTCTAGGAAATCATTTCAGTTACTATGCAATACTGACTTTAAAAATCTTCAATAATCTAAATTATCTAAATTTCATATGATTCAGTGAAAAATGATCCTTCAGGGTAGGCACACTCTCTGTCCTGCGTCTGAGAAGTCTCCTTTCAGAGCTGTCCTGAATGCATTATCTTGACTGTCAGGCCACGCTCAATGCTACTTCCATTCCTGAAACAGATGAAGGTCCACCCGAGACTCACCTCCAGAGCAGTCATGTTGTTCTGGTTGGCGGCCGATAAACGATTTGCTTCTCTGATTTTATCTGTGGCGTTTCTCAACAGGTCCCAAGCATCATCAAGTCTGTTGTTGTAGTCAGCTAGTTTGTCCTGGAGTTCCTTCTCCATTTTTTCATTTTTGCGCCTGGGCTCTCCAAAGAGCTTGTTGACTTTCATTAGCAGGCCCTCCGAAGCTCTGCAACCCCCGGCCCAAGCACAGACATGTTACTTCTTTGGGGTTACTGATAGTCAGCTGTGCAGCAGAGAGATGCAAATAGAAAAGAGAGGAACAGGGAACAGGCAAAGCAGCTAACACAGCGCAGTAAATTGAGTTGGAAAACTGCTTCTAAAGTTGGCAAACTTTTTAATTTAATGCAGAATTTACCATCTTTTAAAATTGTTGTCACACTGTTAATCAGAAGGCATTCATGTCGCTTTCCTAATGTGATAGATAAAGTGAGTTGTATGATTCACTTCACACTGCTGAACAAAAAAGCCACCTGTTTCACCAAAACCAGACACTTTCTCCATGGCTTTGAATATAAGGGGTGAATACTGACATATTTGCTTACAAATTGGTCATGGAGACATCTTTTCATTGCTAGTGTAATAACTTTTTTTGATTTATTTCTCTCACTTGTTCCTCCCCCCAAAATTGTTTGCATGTTCCATGGGTTTCACTTTCTTACATTTTCAAAAATAATAATGTGTAGGATGGACTGGTGAAGTAATAACTTTATTCATCCAAAGATGGCCTTATTAAAACAGAAATCCACTGGTAGCTTCAAAGTCCCAGAGACAAGTAATTAATAGAGCAATTCCACTGAGCTGATTATATAAGAGAAGCCACCAAAAAATCATTTAGTTGATGATTTTTATATAGGTAAAACTATACTTTTCATCTATTTTAGAGCAAGGAAAGGTATAATTAAATAAGTAAATGCAAAATAAATAGCAAGTATCTTCAATTCAGAAAACAAAGCACCTTCTGCATACACGTGAGACAGGAATTTAGAAAACTATAAGGAATTTCCAAAGCTCAGTTTATCAAATGAAAAATTCTAGTGGATCTACTCACACTAACTCATCCTCTGCAACTTCCTTTTGTGTATCTAGATTTTTTCTTCTCAATTCATTCATCATCTGATCAATCTCTTTCTGAAGCTCTTGCAAATTTCTGTCAAAGTCCTTGTCTTGAATTCCTAGAGTTTCATTTAGTTTCACAGCTTTTTCATTTACATCTGCAAGGAATAAAACAAGGTTTTGCAAGCGAGGCAACAAAAATGTCACTAGCAACAGTGGCGCTGAACATCTGCTCTTTACCACCATCCCCCAAAGAATTGTCATTTTCCAGGGGTGTTCCCCTGGGAAAAAGGCAGTCACAGGGACAGTCACTAACCGTGAAGGCAATGGGACATCGTTCTCCACGTTAAGTTTTTGTGGGGCTAATTGAAGTGTAGTGTTTTTGACCTCAAGTGGAATAAAAATAAAGAAGGTCAAACCCCCTTAAGGTGAGAAGCAAAAACAACATGGGTAGTATGATGCTTGAAGCTGAAAAATCAAGAATGGCACCCCTGATGAGACGGTCCTACTCAGTGCATTTTAAACGAGTGAGTCTGGAAAGGCCTCTAGCAATGTGGTCTCTGAACATGAACCTGCCCTTGCATTTCCACAGAGCTCTTCTGCACTTTTTTTTTTTTAACAGGAGCATTGGTCCAGTGACAAGAGTTATAGGTGAGGCCTCAAAGATTCCCTCCAGCAGTAACATCCATCCTGGGAGTCTATGTTTATTATGCATTAAATGGGGTTTCAAGCTGTGCTCTTTGGAATATTAGGATTCTCCAGGTACTTCAGGTGTTCTACAGATGATGCCTACCCTGCCAAGAATCTGTTTTATAGGTTGGTGTTCTGGGCAAGATTTCATTTGGAAAAAGAATGCTATGTCAAATAAAAGTTTAAAAAATCTGTGAGCTGGAACATTTACACAGCTGTTCCCATTAGTTTGAGACCAAAGTTTCCAGAAATGTATTCTATGGAACATTAATTTGGTGAGTTGAAAGGAAATATTTCCTCAAACTCTTTTGTCTGCTGAATACTCATTTCTGTAATATTACCTACAAAAAGCTCCAGAGTGAGCACTCTGGGTTGACCAGGAGAGATTTCTTACTCTTTAAGGGAGTATCTGAAGACTTCTTTGGGACATCATCAACCTTGAACATTCAGTGCAAATCAGAAATCTCTCTCTAAAAGTGAATGTTCAAGATTGATTTAGTCTTAGAGAAGTTTCCTACACCCCTGTAATTGATAGGAACGGTTTCATGGCCAACCTGAGCACCAGGTCAGATTATGATGGGGTTAGTTCTGACACAGATTCTGAATGTGGTCCCTCATCGGGCAGCAGCACAATCATCCTGAAACTTGTTAAAATGCAAATTCCCAGGCCTTGTCCCAGACTGAGTAAAACTTTCTAGATGTAGAGGAGCAGTAAGCTGGCATGTTAGATGAGCTCCCCAGGAACTCTGGACACATGTCCAAATGTGAGGAATCCTAGGCGGGCAGAAGGAATCGAATTTCCAAATCTACACTTTCCAAAATGCATCTGATAATCCTCTTTTCCTTTTAAATGTTTTTTGGGGAGAAATTTGCTTTTTGTAAGAGGAAACTCATTTTAGATAGCTATGGCTATGGCCTAAGTGTTGATAAGGCACCCTGATTCTTATGTTGAAACCTAACTTCTAATGTGATGGTATTAAGAGGCAGGGGCTCAGACAGGTGGCTATGTCAGGAGAATGGGTAGGAGACAGTGCTCTTAGATAGGAGGCATGGAGACCACCCCTGGCCTGCCCATCTGGTGAGCTCACAGTGAGAAGACAGTTAATTGGGAACCAGGAAGTAGCTCCTCCTCAGAACCCAGCTAAGTGTGTGCTCTAATCATGGAATGCCTGTCTTCCCAAAATAGATTTCTGTTGTTTAAAAGCCCATAGGTCTATAATATTTGGTTATAATGCCAAACATACTTAGGGAGACATAGATCAATTTCAGAAAAATCTGAATCACATCTTTGAAAACACAAATTGGGCTATTCCCTAGCTCTGGGCTAGGAGTGTCACTCAGCAGCTCTACTCTTAGAAGTTAATGAGGGTGATGATTTCTCAGTACACTCCTTAACAGTCAGAGTTTAACATGTGCCCAAGGATCTTTCAACATAGCTGGCAGCAAGGTGATCCTGGCTGTGTCATCTGTGCTGGACCACAGTGACCGTGGATGGGGCTGTAAGTTCCCTGACTCAGGAACTACCCAGGAAACATGCCAGAGTGCTGATTATATTTAAGGAGGTTTCTGCTTTCAAGATGTTAAGAAAATAGTATCTGTAGCAGGTTTGACTGTATTTTTTGACAGTAAATGCTTTTGTCTGAGTGTATGACAGGTGATACTGTTGATTTAAGTCAATTGTACCGTGGAGCCACAGATACCATTTGTGTTAACTTTTTACAAAACAACAGTGATAAATCCTACTTCTCAGCTTGCAAAAGTCACATCTTCCTTTATTAAATGAATGTGTAAATAATAAAATATATTTTGAGATGGGATTTTCTTTTGAAATTGAAACTCATTTAGGTCCACAGCCAAGCAAGAGGAACATGAGATATAATTTCACTGCTTCTTTTGTGGTCAAATCTCAAAGCTAAACTCAGGCAAAGAAGAATCTGGTGGAAAAGGAGTAAGACAAGAGAGAAAGCCAACACGGCCACATCTCTTGGAGCGCATGTGCCCTTTCCTTTAAGTTACAACAACAGTGAAGAAATGAAGACATTAATGGAGCACACAAATAAGACCTCAGCAAAATGACCATGTACTAAGAAACAAAGCACCATCTTAATAGAAGCTTTATTGCTTGGCTGAATATATAATATATGGGATTGAAATGTCTTCAAATGTATACACTGTCATTTCAGTATGTTTTCTAGAGTCTTAAAAATAACTAGAAAATAAATATATTTTTGAATTTATTTATTTCTATCTTCTTCCATAGAAGGATCCAAGCCAATATCTTTAAAATGCTTAAGATAAAACAAAATAGAGACTAAGAAAATAATTCATGTGGGTCAGAGAAAGTAGGACCACCCGGAAGGCATGGCGTGAAGCTCCTGCAGCCAGCGTGGACAATTCTGCAGGCCAGGGGATGCCTGCGAGGTGTGCAATGGCCACAAAACACAAACGAGCTGGTCCCCCCAACAGCTGAAATATAGTATATTAAGCCTGAGGAGAAGAGGAGAAGAATCTCTGGTAAGTAATGTTCTCAAGAATGAAAAATGTTAGTCTGGCCTGATAGCAAAGAAAGAAGTCTATCATTAATTAAGTCTTTCATATGTCAGGACATAGACAGTAAAGGGTTTGTCTCTGTCTTTTCATTAATACCAATAATGCATGAAGTAAAATATAGCAGATTCATCATCTAAACAACAGTCATAGCAGAGAAGATATTATAAAGTTATAGTGAATTAAGAATATATAAGTAGAACCTGATTTTCTGTAAAGGGGTCATGACTTACAGTGGAAGGTAGGATTAGTGTTCTGTCTGAATATAAAAACTGCAATAGACAAATATCAGATTGAAGTGTTCATTTTTCCACAGCAATTTATTACTACTAACAATGTGTGAAAGTATACATCACTATTGTCAAATAGAGAGACAGAGTGAGAGACAGAGACAGAGAGACAGAGATACTATTTTTTGGTACTGGGAACTGAACTCGTGACCTCACACTTGCCAGACAGGCACTTACTCCACAAAGCTAAATCCCCAACCCAAGAGGGAGATTTTTAAAAAGCTTCTGGTGACACCTCTCCTCCCCTCCATTTTCTCTTCTCGCTCTATTGTTTCCTCTTTTCCTCTCTTCTTTTCCTTCCTCCTCTCCTGTAGCCTAATCTTCCAACCCTTATAATCTACCAAAATGAGAATCTAGTGTAGCTCGGGTATATTTATATTTGAACTTTCAGTGTTAACAATTGCATACATTCTGCAAATAGTGCTGCCATCAAGGTGACTAATGTTTCTCCTTCTCTCAGGCATAGCTATCACGCATGGTACTTCCCATGGATTAAAACAAGAATTCCCCATTTAAACAGATGCGATCAGGTCACCTGAGCAATTGACACCTTAGAAAATAGAACTTTGGTGAAAAGGGAACTCTTTGTCTGGTGTATGGACCTGAGAACATGGAGCTAAGCAAAGACTGAGATAAATCCATTTCCACTCTGCCTGTATAGGTGTCTTTGGGTGGTGCTCAAATGGCCCAGTGGTACCCAGAGACCTTAAACACTCAACAAACAAAATTTCCATCAACATAAAGAGTCACCATGAATCTATGTCTCCACCGTTGGGAGGTGAAGGCTCAACGCTGAGGAAAAAGTAATCAGTGATGATACCGGAATCTATCAAAACCCATGTTAGCACCACTGCTTCACTGGAATCATTTTAAAAGGAGTCACTGGGATGGGCTGTAGGGTGTGGAGTGTTGGGGAGCTCAGATGGAAGGAATGGAAAGTTCCTGGAGTGCAGGCTGGTGCTTTAGGTGTCCCCATAGAGAGCGAATCTTCTGCCTACCCTGAGACATGGTGTTTGTGGTGTTTCAGGTGTCGAGGGAAGCTTCTCCCACAGCAGTCATAGAAAATGATAGGAGGGAACCACTGTGAGTTAGCTGAGAGTTTTCGAGAAGTAACTTCTTTTTCAGATCTTGACATGTTTTGCCTGAGAATATGCCTCAGATTTAAACTGTTTTTCTTTCTTTTTTTGGCATTGGACATCAAACTTAGGACCTTGTGCTTGCCAGGCAGCACTGTGCTGCTGAGCTAACTCCCCAGCCCGGCTCTGTTGTTTTCACACTAGAGAATCTTTGGGAATCTTGGCGGGTGATGTTTAAAAATTACCAGTCAGGATTTTCTTTGAAGATCAGCTCAGGTTCTTATTTATTTAACTACATTACAAAGTAAAATATCTAAAATGCATAACATTGTAAAATGATACATGTCTTATACTTAAAGGAGAAAAAAACCCTACTTTTAAATTTCTCAACATGCACGTATATTTATTACACATTAGCAGATACTTAGGAGCTGCTTTTTCTGCATCTGTTTCCAGTAAGAGTTTCTGTCTGGGCTTTTGCCCAAAAATAGATTCCACTTTAATCCTCAACCATACTGGTGGATGCCAAGAACAAACTCCTCAGGAATCGTGGCTGAGGACAGGGAGCTTCTGATGAAATAGTACTTCCACATCCCAAGTGCCAGGTGTTCGTTCAAATACCAAGTACCCAAAAGGCCATTTGGGGAAATTAAAGTGCTGCTTTCTCCTTCTGAACGGAATCATAAAATTAACTTTTAAAAAAATTTAAAAGATTTTAAATAATTTTGAACTCACAAAGTATCAAGGCGCAGGTTTCCCAAGAGCTATCTAAGCATCACGGTCTCCCTTCAACAATTCACTGCCGCTCTGCCTTCCCAGTCTCTGATTCACCAACTGCTAGCACTCATGTGAACACTGGTGGTCATAGATGCCCAGGAGAAAAGGGCCTTGAATACTTCAACCAAACTACGCTTTGAATACTCAACCCTTGAATTCAGAAGTGTCACCTCTTTGAAGAGAGATCCCAGTTCTCTGTAATGTCTTTCTCTATTTTTCTGTTGGGAGAAATGATGATTAAAATGTGATTTTTCTAATACCTTCTGCATCCCGGGCGAGCTCCTTAATGAGTTCTCCTAAGGACTTTGCTCTCCTGTTCGTCCTGTCGGCATCCTGTCCCGTTTGCTCGCCATCTGCTGTCACTTTGGTGGCCTAAAGATCCACATTTGGGAAAAACATAATTAATAGAGATGGTGAAGCTAGGGCTACCCAAGCTCCCTCTGGTTACATTTTCTTTCAAATTTTCCTTTGCGCCAAAAGCAATCAATGAATTATTGATTAGATGTACTGGAAATGACACCCCGTGCTCAAGTATACAATTAAACTTTATTACTTCTTCCATTAAATGGAAATCAGAGAGCGGCATTTGCTCCTCTTAAACTCCTCGTTACATGCAATCACATAGAAGAGGTGATAAAACACAATTATCTCTGAAATATCTTTGAGGTCCCATTGCCAAAGTCTTTAATGAAAACTTCGTCCTCCACATGTTGTAATTCTGTCCATATTTTATTTACTGAAAACATGTGGAGGCAGCAGTGGTCTCTGGAGGGGACAGGCAGGCTGTCTCCATAAGCTTGGGCCTATCGAATTCTGTTTCGATCAATACCATCATTAAAGAAACAAAGGGGAGGTGCTTAGTTACTCAGCAGTCAACGCTCATTTTACAGCATTTCAAAGACACCGGTAAAACAGCAAAGGAGAATAAATGCTAACTTTCCCATATAGTATCAGCAGAATCTGTCCGTTAGTCATCGAACATGTACCATTGTGAACAAAACAGAACAGAATCCCCAAACAGCTTCGCCTTCCAGAGAACATCTTCCTAGGCATTTTTATTCTTGGGAAAACACCATTTGACATAACATGAGGTAGTTAATGTATTCATAGTTAAAAGAGAGCACAGTCAAACACAAATGCTGTGTGGAATGTCATGCTTTTTTAAAGATTCTGCCAAATTCAGAGTATTGAAACATAGGTGTGCTTACATATGTGAACAGTAGGACTTCTCTTTTTACCTGAAGAATGTGGATAATCTAACAATGCATAACGAATCAGAGAATCAAATGGCCTCAACGTAATTTTTAATGAGGTCCAAGTTGGCAGTACATTAATACTCTACAATCTTGCAGCAGAAAAGTTGCATTCTAGGTGTGGCTGGAGAGTTAATTTTTGTATATAGACCTAAGTGGATATATATATATATATATATATATATATATATATATGACTTAACATGCACAGAACCAGCATAGAACCAGGCCAGCACAAAACACAGCCAGAGATGCTACAGGAATCACTCTGCTTTTTGTGATTTCCCAGGGGGAAGCAAGAGGTTTGATTCCTGAAAGTTTTCCAGGTTTTTAAGAAAGGACACAACATAAAGTTTGACTGCTATCAACTCAGCTCTCACCATCCAAATGTTAGTTAGCATGGCAAATAAAAGGTTCCAGAGAGAAGGAGCCATTGGAAAACATCTAAAAATTCCTCTGTAATTTACACTACACACACAGTGACATAGAGAATAGAAATCAGTGTATTTCCATACCCTAGAAACACTCCTCTAAAATATTATGAATAGAATTTTTTTAGACTTTTAAAAATGCTTTCTGGAAGGAAACTATGTGTGGAGTTCCTAAGTCACTTAAGCCCTTGCTTCTGGGGTAGGGTGACAAGTGTGCCATAGGCATTTCTGTAAGCTTCGCTCCACGTAGATATTAGCAGTCATGGCTCAGGTGGTCAAATAGCTTTACAGACACACACACACTCTTAAAATACAGTCACTTTTTAAATCTTACTTTTGAGAGAGAACAATGGTCGCATTAGCAAATAAGCCCAGTCGGGGAACCTGCGCCATGCATGGGTCGCTGCTGGACTGGGAACACTTGGACCCCAGCCCCTTCCAGAGTACAGGCTGGCAAACAGGAAGTACCAATCACTCCACCTCCATAAGGACAGACTTATCGAGAGAAACACAAGCTGTGATGGTAGCTATGGAGGTGAAATGCAATTGGATGCCTGTGGTGCTGTGGTGTTTCACTAACACTGCAGTCTAGGGCCAGTGGCCTGATCACAGGTTCAGAGGATAGTGATACACAGTGCGGCATCTGGGGGGATCTCCTTCTGAGGGCTGCAGCCATGGTTGACTCACTATGGTCTTGATTTGAGGTCCTACACTATTTCCATTGTTTTTTGGGGTTGGGTTTTATTCTCTTTTGTTTTATTTGGTATTAAATCTAATAGCAAGAGAAGCTATTTCAAGGATAGAAGAAATATTATGGTAGTAATTTTGGATTTTCTGTTGGCTTGTTCTGAAGTCCTTTATTGCATTCATTGTTTTGTTTTTATTGTTTCTATTCTGTTCTGTTTGATTTTTACTATGTCTGAAGTTATCTGCAGATAGTTTGAAGACACCAAGAAGCATTATGGTAACTATTGTTGATTTTATGTTTGGAAGTCCTGTATCTCTTACACTGGTTTGTTTTGATTGATTTTATCCTCTTTAAAATAAAAAAAATAATAAATCTGACTTTTGAATAACTGAGTTTGACTTCCTTAAAGTGCTGTCAGTCTGAACTGCCTTAAGCATATCTTCAGTCTCAACCTCAGCATATTTTCTGATATTATTCCTATTTTCACCAATCATTGAACCTCATAGTAAGCAACTCCTATAATATAGTCATTCTTTAATATTTTAAGAATTAATAGGCCACCAGCACCAGTATCTCTTCTTTCCACAGAAATGACCATTATAATTTGAACTTAAATTTTAGTTTTTGATTTATTAATCTTTCTTATATTCCAAAATGATCATGATTTATGTAAACATTGGCACTATTAAGCTTACCAATTTTTACTAACTCAAAGCATCTATTTTTAAAAACTAGCTGTGTAGTAATAGATTGCCTCTTACATTCTACATTATTAAGATCTCTGCCATTGCCCTGTCTTCTCAGGTATTCATCTAGTACTTAGCAAAGGTCAACATTAGCAAACACTTTACTCTTAGGGTCAATTATATGAGGATTCCTGTATTAAGATGTCAAGAATCCTGCAACATATAAGAAACAAAAAGGTTCTATTCAATGAATGTTTTTTTTAAGTAGTATATTAAATATGGCAATCTTTTCCCTTCTTAGGGCTTTTCTGGTAACGTGTTGCCTTTTTCTGGGGTGACTTTCCCCTCACTAGTTTCAGATATCTGACCTTTCTTACCCTCTGCTTTAAATTTCATTGTCTCTTGTCAGTGTGGCCATGCCCGGCTTCCTACCTATGTCTCCACATCTGTTGCACCAAATCATTTCCTTCAAAGGTAACATCAAACATTTGAAAATTACCAAAGTCAATAACTTATTTATTCAAACTAAATAAATGGGTCACCTAATTTCTCAACTTGTAAGCGTCACTATCACATATAAATAATGAAAACTAGGGACTCCTTGGCTTACATATTTATTGACTGCCTTCCCAACCAACGGTGAGTTCTAAGAGGGGAGGCAGTTGGTCTGGTGTGACAGTTACCTTATGTCCTTCTCCCAGTGTGTTCCCTAACTTATAGCCAGTGTCTTTAAAGGCGGCTGAATAGATGACTAGATGACAGCTTTCCTAACAAATCTTGCCTACGTCATTACTGTCTGCACCTCCTGTTTTTTCTTAGAAAAAATTCTGCTTATATTATTTATTCTTAAATTCATTTATCCAATATACAGCCTGCCGTGGGAATTCAAGCAGCTCTGCTCTCTCCATGAAGCCCTCCCTGGCTGTCCTAGCCCAGGCCCTCCTTAGATTCATGCCATCATTACCACCATTCAGGACCACAATGGGCTGTGTCCCTGATAGCGTTTGCCATAATTACCTACTCTCTCCCCTTGCAGCCTGTGACTGTATGTATTTCTGTTTATTCCTCAGAATGCCAGGCACAGTACTTGGCAAATTGTAGGGGATCAAAGATGCTAGGTAATTGGCTGATATAGTGACAGTTAAACCAACTCTTGCTTTGAAGTCCTAACCCGTGCTGGAGGATTCCCAATGCCATTCAAACTGACCATATGCCTAGTGCCATGCTTGCCAGCAAATATGGCTTGTTAAGCAGTTTTCTGAGCTTTTCCCAGGACTACTGCTCAAGAGCTGCTGCTGAGTGCTTGGGAGGACGGCCAGGCGTGACGCCCTCCCGCCCCAGTAGGGCTGTGTTCTAGCCACTGGCTTAGCAGTAATTCAAAACGGGGCCTGCGATTGCACACCGAGTTCCAGGATGGTGAGGACAGCAGACATGGAGGGTGGCCAGAGTTCCTCAGAGCCAGCGCAGGACTTGTGAAGGAAGATCCCCTTCCTCTGCACACACATGAATTTCCTCTCTTGGCTACACCCCAGGACAGGAAGAGCCGCGAGGTTCCTGGTACCAATAACACTGGCTTATGTGGTTTAGTACTCCGGAAGACGGGTTACGGTGAGGCATAGCTGTTCTCTGGATTGCCATGCATGTCAGGAAGGCTTTGACACACTGTTTTGAATCTCATTTGCCCTTCCTGCCTTTAGAGATAGATGGAGGGCATGAAAGGGAAGGTATGAAAGGTTAAACACTTAGCTATTTCATATATAAGGAACTGAGGAAAGAAGCAGAAATTCATTGCCTCATAGATTTGTATCTTGTTTATATCAAACTGTTTTGTTTGGCTAATGTTCAAGAGGGCTAAGAAAGTACATTTAAAAAAAAAAAGAGCATATTCTTCCATAGAGTTCGTAAGTGTATGCGTAAGCTTTGGCTTTTAACAAACACATTTCAGAGCTCATAACAGAACATTACCTAGATATACTTTTGGAAATCAGGTCTCCTTTTATAATAGGTGAGCTGCTGAGTCACCTTTGCTAAAACCACTCACACCAGACTCCATCAATTAGGAATCATGAGCAACACTGTATCACACAGATCTTTCCATGAGAATGAACAGCCTGGTGTGACACACATGTCCCAGGTTCACCACCACTGACTCCGGGAGCGGTGGGTGAGGGTGATGCCACTGTGGCATCATGATAAAAAGAACATTTAGGAAAACCAAGTCCACCTTGGACAGGGTATGGATAATATTACAGATGAATGCTAAACACAAGCCAATCAGAGCTACCTTTTGGATTCAGCTGGGCTCTTTCTGTTT